AAAACAAACAACCAAAGTCAGTAGAATGAAAGCAATAATAAAGATCAGAGCAGAAATAAATGAAAGAGACTAACAAAATCCAAAAACCCCCCAAAAAACCCAAAACAAAAAATAAACCAAAAGAAAAAAAAAAAGAAAGGTCAATGAAACTAAAAGCTGGTTCTTTGAAAAGATTAACAAAATCAATAAACTTTAAGGTAGATTCATAAAAAAAATAAAGGGAGAGGGTCCAAATCAATAAAATCTGAAATGAAAAAGAAGTTACAATTGACATCACAGAAATACAACAGATCATAAGAGACTACCACAAGCAACTATATGCCAATAAAATAGTCAACCTGGAAGAAACAAATTCTTTGAAAGGTACAATTCCCCAACACTGAAATAGGAATAGAAAGTATGAACAGACCAATTACTAGTAATAAAATGGAATGAGTAATTAAAAAACTCTCAACAAACAAAAGTCTAGGACCAGATGGCTTCACAGGTGAATTCTACCAAATATTCAGAGAAGAGTTAAATACTCATCTGTCTCAAACTATTCCAAAAGACTGCAGAGGAAGGAATGCCTTTCAACTCATTCTATGAGGCCAACATCACCCTGATACCAAAACCAGACAAACATATCACTAGCAAAGAAAATTACAAGCCAGTATCACTGATTAACATACATGCAAAAATCCTCAAAAAAATATTAGCAAACCGAACCCAATAATACATTAAAAGGTTCATACACCATGATCAAGTGAGATTTATCTCAGGGATGCAAGGATTTTTCATACCCACAAATCAATCAATGTGATTATTAACACCACATTAACAAATTGAAGAATAAAAACTGTATTATCATCTCAGAAGATGCAGAAAAAGCTTTTTATAAAATTCAACATCCATTGATGATAAAAACTCTCTAGAAAGTGGGCACAGAGAGAACTTACCTCAACATAATAAAGGCCAAATATGACAAACCCATAGCTAACATTACACTCAGTGGTGAAAAGCTGAAAGCCTTTCCTTTAAGATCAGTAACAAGACAAGGATGCCTACTCTCACCACTTTATTCAATATATAGTATTGGAAGTCCTATCCACAACAATCAAACAAGAATAAAAAAATCAATCCAAATTGGAATGGAAGAAGTAAAATTGCTACTGTCTGCAGATGACACGATACTGTACACAGAAAAACCCTAAAGACACCACCAGAAAACTACTAGAGCTCATCAATGAGTTTGGTAAAGTTGCAGAATTTAAAATTTACACACAGAAATGTGCTGCATTTCTACACACTAACAATGAACTATCAGGAAGAGCTATTAAGGAAATAATCCCATTTACCACTGCATCAAAAAGAATAAAATACTGAGGAATAAACCTTCCTAAGGAGGTAAAAGACCTTTTGGAGGAGGTACTCCAAAAGTTCTAAGACACTGATGAAAGAAACTGAAGATGACACTAACAGATGGAAAGATATACCATGTTCTTGGATTGGAAGAATTAATATTGCTAAAATTACCATACTATTCAAGGTAATCTACAGATTGAATGCAAGCCCTATTAAAATGCCAACTGTATTTTTCACACAATTAGAACAAATAATTTATAAATTTGTGTGGAAACACAAAAGGCCCTGAATAGCCAAAATAATTTTGAGAAACAACAAAGCTGGAGGAATCATGGTCCCTGACTTCAGACTATACTACAAAGCTACCATAATCAAAATAATACGGTGCTGACACAAAAACAGACACACAGATCAATGGAATAGAATAGAGAGCTCAGAAATAAACCTATGCACTTATGGTCAATTAATCTATGACAAAGGAGGCAAGAATATATAATGAAGAAAAGACAATCTCTTCAACAGTTGGTGCTGGGAAAAGTGGACAGCTACATGTAAAGAATGAAATTAGAACATTCTCTAACACCACATACAAAAATAAACTTAAAATGGATTAAAGACCTAAGTATAAGACTGGAATTCATAAAACTCTTAGTGGAAAATATAGGCAGCACACTCTTTGACATAAGTTGTAGCAATTTTTTTTTTGGATCTGTCTCCTAAAGCAAAGGAAATAAAAGCAAAAATAAACAAACAGGACCTAATTAAACTAAAAAGCTTTTGCACAGCAAAGGAAATCATCGACAAAATGAAATGACAACCTACTGAGTAGGAGAAAATATTTGCAAATGATACAACTGATAAGGAGTTAATATCCAACATATATAAACAGCTCATACAACTTATCATCAAATTAAAAAAAACCCATTTAAAAAATGGGCAAGAGATTGAACAGACATTTTTCAATAGAGGAAATGCAGTTAGCCAATAGGCACATGAAAAATGCTCAACACTGTTAATTATCAGGCAAATGCAAATCAAAACCATAATGAGGTAACACTTCACACCTGTCAGAATGCCTATTATCAAAAAGAGCACAAATAACATGTTGGTAAGGGTATGGACAAAATGGAATTCTCATACACTGTTGGTGGGAATGTAAACTGGTGCAGTCACTATGGAAAACAGCATGGAGGTTTCTCAAAAAACTAAAAATAGAACTACCATATGATCCAGTAATTCCACCTCTGGGTATATACCTGAAAAAACAAAAGCACTAATTCAAGAAAGACAGATGCACCCCAATTTTCACAGCAGTATTATTTACAGTTGCCAAGATGCGGAAGCAACCTAAATGTTCATCAACAGATGAATGGATAAAGAAGATATATATATATACACAAACACAATGGAATACTACTCAGACATAAAAATGAAATTTTCCCACTTGTAGTGACATGGATGGTCTTGGAGGGTATTACGTTAAGTGGAATAAATCAGACAGAAAAAGACAAATACTATATGACATCACTGGGAAGTGGAATCTAAAAAATACAACAGACTAGTGAATACAATACAATAAAATACAATAAAAAAGCAGACTCACAGATACAGAGAATAAACTAGTGATGACCAGTGGGGAGAGGGAAGTAGGGAGGGGCAATGCAGGGATAGGGAAGTAAGAGGTACAAACTATCATGTATAAAATAAGCTAAAAGGATATATTGTACAATCTGGGAAATACAGCCAATATTTGTAATAACTATAAATGGAGTATAACTTTTAAAACCTGTGAATCACTATATTGTACACTTGTAACTTACATAATACTGTATATCAATTATACTTCAATATAAATAAATATTTTTTTCCAGTTGGCTGAGCCTTTTAGTTGTTGATTTCCTAATAACACAATATTGCATTCTGATCAGAGTATTATTTGCAGTTATTTCTACTTTGTGGAACTTCCTGATAGTTTCTTCTCCACAAGGTTTGCACGTGAAATAGCTTGCTATGATTTGCTGTTTACTTTCCTATTTATCAGTAATTTGAAGCTTGGATATTACCTTTCAGTTAGGCTGAGGGTGTGTTTGTAAATTTTTTAAAAAACTTAAGCAAAGTAAAACATTACAAATAAAGCTAAAGCTACAATTTCCTTCCTTCTCCTCCCAGAGGAAAACTACTGGGTAGCTGCTACATATACTCCTCAAGTAGATGTGTATCACTCCCATGCATTTTTTTTTCTGGTAATTTTTTTTTTAATTGAGGTACAGGTGATGTATGATATAACTTTCAGGTATACAACACAGTGATTAACGTTTTTTAAGGTTATATTCTATTTATAGTTATTATATTCCCTGTGCTGTACTATATATTCTCATAGCTTATTTAAATCCTTGCATGTTTTTATGTTTATGAAATATGTATCAATAAACTATATATGCTGTTTTATGTTAATTAAAGTTTATATAAATAGTGTCATCCTGTATATATTCTTTGCAACTTCATTTATTCACCATTATAATTTTGAGATTTATTAGTATGGCTATACCTAATTACTGAATATTCTAGTTTTACTCTAGCTGCTATATCCCGATGTATGAATAAATAACAGTTAATTATTCACTCCCCTTTGCTGATTCCAATTTTTCACTACTATAAAGTGCTACTATGAATATCCTTATACAAAATCCTTATGTGTGAATCTGTACTTACATACCAAGAAGTAGAATTTTTGAGTCACAGGTTATGTGCATTTACTGGATACTGCCAAATTATTCTCAAATTAAGTTCTATTAATTTCTATCCCTATTAACAACATCTAATAAGATTTTCTATTTTCCCAAAATTCTTGCCATCACTGAACATTTTCATTTTTTCTATTTTTAAAACTAATCAGAATTAACCAAACCTCTTATTAAAAAAGGAGCAGTTATAGATGGAAAACTGAGAGGCTGAATTACTGCTTTATATTTTGTAGGTATTTCATGACTAAGTTTTAAACTACTATAGTTTTGAAGGTAAAAGAATAATTTGTTGATGTTTATTTTCTAGGCCCCAAGAGTGATATAAGCATAGCAGCACATCTGGAGTACAAGGTTTTGGTTCTACCATAAAGCTGCTTTAGTTCAATGTCAATATATCACCAGATCACTTTAAAAAAATCTGTTGCTGTTACATTGTCACTGAGTATTTTTTTATACTATCTTTTATTAAATGACTATTCAGGAGAAATTATTGTCTAGTCTCAGTATCAGGAGCAACTTACAGTTATCTTGAACATCTGGTTCATTTTTATTGATGGACAGTGCTGATCTTAGCTTCTTAATTATGCTAGATGTTGGAAAGCTAGAGCTAAACACAAAGTCTATCTCTAGCAAATGTATAGGACCTCAAAATAATAATCTCCCCTCTCAGATTCACATTATCATTCCTATTATTTTCTTTGTTGATCTTCTTAATCTATTCCATCGTGTATGTTTCTAAGCCACTTAAAAGTAAATATTAAGTTGAATAAATTCATAACATTAACATAATCAATGTTAGAACATTTATTTTTTTCAAAAATATGAATTATAGGCTTCTATTCCATCATTCTTTCATAGTGTGAAAGGTGCAGTTGATTAGAAACTGTATTCTGGGATCACTTTGATGCTTACCTTTTCTGCTACTTCTCGCACAGACTGAACACTTGTTCCATACAGATGATTGTTATACTGGCCAGCTTCAATGAATTTATGTTCCTGGATATCTTTTTCCATTTGCTCTCTTGAAGTTACAAAATGATAATCTCTTCCATCTACCTCATAATCTCGTTTTGGTCTAGTTGTATCTTTAACAGAAAAGAACTTGAGGAAGTGTTTAATATTAAAAAGCACAACAAATCCATTTGCTACTTAAAGAATTGTTTTAAAAAGTTCAATACAACAGAGATTGATTTAAATTTGAAAAAGGACAATAATATAGAGGATGGAGGAATAACTGATAGAATAAGTAAAACCATTAAAAAATGATAATGTTTACTTTTACCACACACAATAACAAAATGTTAAGAACAAGAATTAATAATTTTTATGCGGGTTACTCACGAGGAACACATGATCCAAATTTGTCAGGAAATTCTGAGATCAAGTCATCATTTATCCTGTCTTTCATCGGTCCCAATATGATCACTGGTCGAGTATAATTAACTATAAAAATACACTGCATGTTAAGAGGAATAAATGCTCAACAAACATGAATACATTTTATTTCATTAGAAAACAAAAGTACCCTTAACTGTTAATTTCTTTCTTTTTTCTTTCTCCACCAATGATGGCTAGCTTGATAATTTACAAACCTTTTTATTAAGATCTTAAACCTTACTCAGTCTTCTTTTGGAAGTCACACACTTAGATAATTCAACCAAGTTACATCCAGCATTTTAGCAGATAATGTTTATATATGTTGCTACTGTCATCTCATTACAAATGAGAAAACACAGCAGTGTTTTACTGCTCCTTTTTGAAGTAGAAATTGTAAGGAAGCAGATCAGAAAATGGCAAAAGAGAAACTGGGTATAAGAAGCGATGTGGGGGGAGGGTATAGTTCAGTGGTAGAGTGCATGCTTAGCATGCACGAGTCCCTGGGTTCAGTCCCCAGTGGCTTCTCGAAAAATAAATAAACCTAATTACCACTCCCCAAAGGTGATATAATAAGATTGTAAAACATCAACAGGCTTCACAAACCTTCTTGTTGATTCACTGGTTCATACGATAAGACATATTCTTCTTGACCACCTATTAGAAAGTTAAAATACAGATAAGAAAATCTATAAAGATAACTACTACTAATTTATTCTTACATAACATATAACTTATTAGAACTTTCCTGAGAAAATAGGAAAGATATAAAAAAGGTACTCTACAAACTAATTATGGCAGGATTTAGGGAAAAAGCTGACAAATTATAAAGTTTGATAAATATAAAAACAAAATATAAATGTGCTATTTAATAACTACCTTTCTGTTATTCTGTATTTTACAGATTATATCTATTTAAAATATATATTTCTCATTATATCTATTTAAAATCTTCACTTGTGATGCCAAGTATATGCTATTAATTTTTTACTTAGACTCTAAGAACTATTAAGTCTTTTAATGATTCACGCTTTAGCGAGCAGTTCTATATATATGCATATTAGGTAATTTACTGTTATTAAAAATACGCTGCTTTTCTGATCGTACCAGGTATATTTAATACCACACATATATTTTTATAATTACAACCATCTTCCAACCAAAAACTTCTAATGCAAAGGTAAAACTAGTATCACTATTTCACTGATAAAGACTTCTGATTATTATAATAATTCATTTATTCAATTAAAAAATATTTTGGGTCAAAAAAAGCTTTGGATAAAACTAAATCCTTCCCTTTTAACAAAATGAATCACACAGATAGTAAAGGAGAAAAAATACATTTTACTTTGATCTTAAAAGTACTTTAGAGGTTAAATTAAATCCTCTAAGAGGGTTAGAGCTTAAGAGTATCTTAAATAGAAAAGTCTACAAATTATATCTCGATTCAATGAAAATAACTAAAAAAGGGTTAAAAATTTCAATTCTTAACACACATACACACACACACACGTGTAAAAAAAACAAGCCAGGAACAATTGTCCAATTCAAGTGGTTCAATGAACTCAATCAATGTTGGATAACATATTGGAAGACTTTCTCCTCGATTATGATGATTCTATAACAATATTTTCACTAAATTTGTTGCTAGTTTATAGTATATGTATGCAGCTGTAAACCTTTTAAATTCATATAATGGTACAAATGTTCTTTTCTGCTTTAAAAGTATATTTTGTTGTTTTCAAATTTAATACATAAAATACATATATTTACAAGATGCTTTTTAAAGTACTGCATGTAAAACATGTTTTAAATATTGGCAAAAACATGCAATTTGAATATTCCACACCTAATAATTCATGCAAATGGTGAGACAGACAGTATATACTTTCATTACCTCTTTTTAGTCTAGAAAGCTACTTAACTACTCTCTAGTGAGTTCTGATTGTAAGTTAACAGAATGCTAAAATACAAGATTATCACATTCCCACAGCAAAAAAGAAAATCATCAAGCAACTATTAAGCAGAAAAATAACAATCGAATGAGGGTTAAAAGTATATATTGTCAACATGGAAAATATTAGAGACTGATATTAACAGGATGGACCTTTTGAGCAGCCATACTCATCTGTAATCAAGATTACTTTCATATTAGACAGCAGTAAAAAAAAAAGTTAGAAAAGCAATTTTAATTTTTAAAGCGTTACAACTGATAATATTCATATACCCTCCCCTCCACCCATGCCCAAATATATTTAAAAACTTCACATGCTTATACAGTTCACTTAATAATACAATATTAAGACTGTAACATAGGAACCAAAAAAGAAATCAGTAATCCTATTTGAGCAACTGTTGAAAATTTTCCCTTCATTGTTTCTTATGTTCACCAAAATGTGTTGATAAACAATAACTTGACCCACACTAGTACTAGTAACACAGAATAAAAAAAGGAAATAAAACTAATTATAAGGGAGGGGGGTATAGCTTAGTGGTAGAGTGTGTGCTTAGCACATACGAGGTCCTGGGTTCAAACTCTAGTACCTCCATTAAGTAAATAAACAAACAAACAAGCCTAAATATCACACCTCAAAATAATTTAAAAAAAGAAAAATTTGTGTTAAAAATTAATCATGAAAAAAACTATAATTTAGCATTACTGAAAACTATTTTAATGCTCATGTTAGAAAATAGAATTACTAAATAAATGGCAAAATACAAGTTTACACCTCATTTAAATAGATATTTGCTTCTTATAAAAGATACAAACACACACACATAGCTTGTAGACAAACAGCCTAGTCTGTAAAATGAATTTTTGTATTTTATTACAATTTTGGAAATTAAATTTGTACAAAAACCTCAAAGGATTTATTACCAGAGATAACAGAAGAACAAATAAAACACTTACGGTAACTACTTTCGCTATCGCTGGCATTAGAAGTTACATGTTCTGAAATTACAGGACAATGGAAGAAATAAAGAAAATAGTGTCATGAGTTTAAAAAAAGCAAATTACCAAAATAAACACAAGGTGACATAACAAAACATCGAAATATAAACCACACATACCTGAAGAGTTTTTAAAAACAATTTGATTTTCTTTGAAAAATTTAATTATTTCAAATAAATGAATATGAATTAGCAAGGAAAAAATTTGATCTGTAGTCAAGGACAATGCCTCATTTCTGTTCAATACAGTTTATGAACAAAAATCCATCACAAATAATAAGTAGAATATGACAAAGAGGGCAAAGTAATCCTAAATTAGTGCAACTGTAGACATAAAATCCCAAAGAGAAAATGTCATCGGCACCATTTAATTTAGATTCTGAGACTAACAAAAGAAAACAAGTTATATCTGAGCAAGCAGATGCCCATTTTAATGAAGAGATATCTTAAAAAGTAAATAGATATCTTGCTTTTAGTTCAGCTTCTTTCTTGTTCCTGAAGAGAAATGAGAATCCATGTCTGAGATCATACAGATAAAGCATTTTGGATGTCATAGATTCAGATGCCTCAAAAAAAAAAAACGTAAAATGGAATGGAATTCTAGAAGGTGGGATTGTATTTTAAAGTAGACTAATATTTCTGAGAAACTGTGCTTCAATACAATTGACAAAGGTTGCTTTGTAAAACAAAAAGATAAACACACCCAATTGCCTGGCCCCTCCTTCAAAGTGGCCCCCATTTCATAACTTGATTGTTCAGTAAATACCCAGCACTCTTCTCATGTAAATGTAATCTCGTGTTCCCACAATAAATGTCTCCTTTGAATTAAAAAAATGGGTCATTTTATCTATAAAGACTAAATAACAAAATTTTCCACAGGAGAGAGGTGAATCTGAATTTCGTATGTCAGGCAAAGGAAAAAGGAATTTAAAGGATAAAGTTTGAGGAGGAATATCTGCTGTACCATACCACCCACAGTCTCCTATAATCAAGTAGCACTACTGAAAAGTTCAGAAAATGGCAGAACTTAAGATTTCACATAAAGATCACAGTTCTTGAATTGCTGTCATAGTGAAAAATAAGTCTGTTATTCTAACCTGCAAAGACAAGATACACATTTCTTAATCATCTTATGTGTATTTTAAATAAAGCAGGAACATCGAAAATTCTAAGACTGATGACAAGCACATGTAAAATGGTGTTTTTTTAGTTTATATTTAAAAATTTCTTCCCGTTACCACATGGACTTCAAAAGGATCATTTAAAATTATTGTATAATATTCTCTTTGACTGTTAAATCACGATTTGCCTTAATACTTACTACCTAGACATTTTAGTTTGCTTTAAATGGTCTTCTACAAACATCAACAAATTATTATGACTGTTTTCATTTATATGGCTTTCACCTTCTGTCCTATTTCCTTAAAATTCATTCCCAGAAGTAGGAATGCCAAAAAGAAAAAAAAAGTTCTTAAATTTATACTAGAATTGGTATTACACTCTGCAATCTCTAATATGTAAGAGAAAGAAACATTAATTATTGCAACGGAGTGGAGGGGGAAGAGTAGGAGTACAGAAGAAACAAAATTAACCATGAGTTGACAATTACAGAAGTTGGGTAAATGAATATTTGTGGGGTTTATTTTACTATTTCTCTATTATTGAAAGTCTGACATGTTAAATAATAAAAAGTTAAAGTTACTGCAATCTCTTTTCTGGGGATTTCTCCTACTTGAGTTCGCTAATATCATTGATAGCTATGAAGCAATCAAATTCTTCAAGTTTATTTAATGTATCTGGTAACTCCTCTACAATAAAATCTTACTACTTAAAGTACTGCCCTTGGAAAACCATCATCATCCTTGCCTGGGAGCTTATTAGAAAGGTAAAATGCTTTTCCCCTCAAAATTAAAAATAGTCTTTTTCACGGTGGTTCATCAAAGATGACATTAAAATACTCAATAAACATATATAAAAAGAGTTCAATCTTATTACTTATCAGGCAAATACAAATTAAAACTACAACAGATATCTCTATCATTCACCAGAATGACCAAAATGAAAAAACAAAACCAAAACCTATGTGTCAAGTATCTGTTCCAGTAGCAACTGGAACTCATATACTTCTGGGGGTAGGGGTGGTACAAATTGGCATAACCACTTTAGAACACTACTTGGGCAATACCTACTACAGTCTAACATATTTATAGATCTGAGACCCAGCAATTCATTTCCTAAGTATTTTCCGAACAGAAAGGCATATGTATGCTCACAAAAAGTATAAAAATGTTCAAGCAACAATATTCAAAATAGCCCTAAATGTTTACTTACAAATGTAAGAAATATTGTACAGTTTCATAGTTTACTTTTTTCACTTACATTGTGAGCATTTTTTCTGTATCTTTGTTTTAATATGATTTTCAATGGTTATAAAATATATAATATGTGGATAAATCATACTTCATTAACCATTTCTCAACTGTAAGACACTTTAGGATTATTTCAGCTTTTTTGTGGGGGGCTATAATTTCTGAATAATATTAGACAAAACATCCTGACATATACACCTTTGTTTCCATCTCTGATTACATCCTTAGGATAAATTCCTTGAAGAGGATTTAGCAGGTCAAAAGATACGCTTTTCAAAAAAAAATTGTACCAATTTACACTCCCAATAGTAACATGTTAAAATTAGCCATTCCACAGAACCCTCTTCATCACTGGGTTCTCCTTTAAAAGAAAAGTTTGCCAAAGTGATGCATAAAGCATGTCATTTTGTATATTAACTACTAATTACGTTAAACATTTTTTTAGATGCTTATTTCATTTGCTTATCTTTTGAGCACTCTTCTCATATCCTTTCTAAGGGAGTTAGTCTGTTTCTTATTGATCTGTTAGAAATTTATAGTTTAAGGATATTGTCATTTTGACACATGATATAAACAGATTCTTAAAGTTTTAATTTTTGTTTATAATATTTGATCACAACTATTTCAAATCTTTCTAAGTCTCATCTTTCTAGTCAAACATTTCTTTCTGAGACTATATCATGTGTTATCTCTTTGCTCTCACTAAATACTACACACATCATCAGTCTCAAACAATACTACTACTCTTAACGCTTATTCTTAACACAAATGAAAATAAGTCTGGTTCAGAATCTAACAGCTCTGCACAACTCTCCTTAAATAAGTCTTTAAGATGTAACAGGAAACCTGGAAGTTTTTGAGGTGTTCTACAAAATGGAAAGCTATAAAAATAAACTGCATACAAAAGGCAAGTACAAACCTTGTCTGAAACTGTATGTCATGATTTCATTTCTGAGCACCTTATATAAGTGCTACCGAACTATGCATACTTTTAGTTTCTGTTAAAGTAATCTTCAGTTTTTCTCTCTTGAATTTTTTCAAAATTGCCTTCTCAAAGAACAAAAGAACACAGGTTTCTATTTCTAGATTTTTCACAAGCTATTATGATTTAGCTGCATCCTCCCAGAATTCCATCATACTCTTAACTAAATCTGTTAGTCAAAATAAGGTTTGGAAAGGCAATTTCTCCTATTGTTTCCTCTACTGTCAACAGGGCAAATCAACAATTTATTTGATTCTCTTCTTGGTAGAATCACTGAATTCATGTCTATGAAAAGTATTCTAGGGAATCACTTTTGTTTCTCTGCTCTTTTAATTAAATACCCTATTTTTCATAGGTTGTGTGAAATTACACGTAGATGTATGTATTTCTTTATATTCAGTGTTATTCCACATCTCTTTAACAGGTTTATCTGGAGTAACTTGTCTTGTTCTCAATCCCTTCATGAGTCCTGTTCCAAAAGGCTTAATAGATACCAATATGAGGGCACATTTATTTTCTTATATTAAAATCTCACAGGATTTTGCTTAGTTTATTCCCTGTATCCTGAACTTCAGAATACAGATAACTGAGTCCATAAATAATGCTCTTGACCCACTCTTCTTTCTAGCATTTTCCACTATATAATAAAAGCCTTTTGTCAGCAGCTAGTAATTTTATTTGATAACCTCAATCCCAGTTTTAGAATTTTAGTGATATTTTTCTGTCCCCATCAACATTTTCTACATAAAATCTTGACCTGATTAAGTTACCAGGTTTAAAGTCTTTCAGTTCCTGTGAGATGAAGCACAGAAACCTACCATTCAAGAGATCTTAAATCACTGATTAGAAAAATTAAATCAATGACATTGGTAATCAGTTATCATTTTTGTGTCTCCTCCCAAGTCACAAATCTCAATTAAAATGAGAGATGAAAATACGGTGTAGTCAAGGTGTAATTATCTATTATACAAATATCAATATATGAACCAAATTCTTCATTTAGTTCCTTTTTTCATGAGTTTTCCATAGGTCTCTGATGACCCATCAGATAACAAAAATCTTTGGGTTCATTTGCTGATCCATACCACCTCATGATCATTCTTAAATTCTATAGCATTAGGAATCTGCAGAAACAGGGTGGGATATAGGTCAGTGGCAGAGTGCATGCTTAGCATGCATTAGGTCCTGGGCTCAATTCCCAGTACTTCCATTAATAAAAACAACAACAAAGAATCTGTAGAAATATTTCCCAGTTTTTGAAGATTTTCACTGATAATTTTTCCCAGAGGCAAGAGATTAAAGAAGTGTACCACTAGTGACAGTAAACTTGTGGTTCTTAACAAATCCTAAAAAAAATCCTATTATATTCTGTATAATATAAATAATTACATATAAAACATTGTCTTTAATCTAATATAAACCTTTAACATTTAAAGCTGAAATAAAACTCAAGTATCTATAGCTGAGATTAAAAGTCCAGTATAAAGTTAATATAAATCAGGAGAAAAATCTATGAAATTTAATGTTTATTAATGTAAATCTTGGAAAGTTAAGATACTGACTATATCCTTAATGATCAATGAATTATAAAGAAGTTTTCAAAATGCTTAATAATGCAAATGGAAAGAATTATTTAGAAAAAAACTTTAGCCTATAAGGTTACTCCTGTGAGTCACTGTCACCTAAAAAAAATTCGTAATATTTGGTAAAATTTTACATTTAATCAATTTGAAAGCACCGATATTCAAAATTTTGTTTCTTAAAATGACTTTTTATTTCATTCGTAATTCCAACATTTATTGAATGACTCCTACATATCAGACTGTATAAAGCTTTATATGAAAATTAAATACTAGCTAGAAAATTAAACAGGAACATAACAAAAACAAAAAACAGAGACAACATCCTGGTTAAAGGAAAGACAAAGGATAATATTTCTTATAATTCTTAACTTAAAACTTACTTAAAAAATATAGTTTTCCTACTACAAAGACTGCTACTTGAACTTGAGTTCCACAATTCTCTAATATTTAAGATCTGTTGTGTTTTATAGTTTCACATTATAGCAAGGCTTTTCTAACAAAGACTCAAAGCAATTTAAACATGTTTCAACAAAAAAAAGGGGGGAAGATAAAACTGCAAGGAAGATTATTGTCTATCTTCTAATAAGGGCAGGTAGTACTATTTTAAAAAACATTTAAAAAGTCTATCTTTATACTGAAAAAAATTCCTAGAGAAAGTAATTGCCATAAAAATTACAAAAAGGAAAATGCGATTATAAGCAGAGAGTTTTTCAAATGACATGTGAAAAATGGAGCATTGGAAATATAAAAGGTGTGTATTACAGAAATAAAAATCCCAAGCATATTATTAACATGAAAAATCTAAAAGCAATCTAAATCATATACCTCCTCATGCCAGAAGGGCACTACCATGAATCTCAAAATGTATCTGAAAAAGGTAGGTCTGTAGACGGAGGTTAAAAAATAACTTGGGAGTATTTTGATCACTTACTCAGGCCTTTTGATCCCATGTCGTCAGGGATCTCCTGTAGAGAGTAGTTCCCAGAGAGCAAGCAATAAAAAGATAATCAAAGAAAATAGTTGTCAGTAATGCATAAAATTGGTGCTACAATTAGAGACAGTTCCAAGACCATTACAGGTACATATATCTTACAGAGCATTTTTGTAGATTTCTGAAAGTTTAAAACAAGTTAGTACTGAATGTAATCTACTAAAATAATGGAAGTTTTATCCAAGAGGCTGATTAAGGTAGAGAAGCAAAATTTTAGACTATTTCTTGCTATCTTGAAAGTAAAATTCAGAATGCCTACATATAATAAAGAAATAAGATAAAATAGAATGATTTGAGAAGATTTATTACCAAAAACTGGCAATGCTATACCTAGAAATCAGTAAGTAGCTTTTCAGGTATTCATGTTTTTCCTCTAAAATATTCTTTGATAGTATGTTAAGTGTTTCTTATAAGAATTTTTACATAGAATAATTCTATTTTAAACATGTACCTTAAAAATACTGTTTACTTTAAATTAGGAATTCCTAAGGTGCCAGAAAAAGTTAAGATTGGTATACAGATTAATTTATGTCTGTTAAGTTGTCCTTGGTTAAGATAATTAGTAACCTGTTGCAGCTCTTGAAACTGTCTCCATGGTAACAACCAACTGCAGGGCAGCAGGTCCCTCTACATTTATCTTCAGTTGACCACTGGATCCACATACTTACGGTCAGCATCACTTGTTTCCTGCTCACTCTGGTCCTTGTTCTTGTAGAAGGGGAATTTTCGGGAAAAGAGGTTCTTTTTACGCTTGTCATTGAATGACTGCTGAAGAAGAGAAGGAGGGGCAAAACAAAGGGATGTCTACTGTCTGTGTGTACAAAGGCCCAGCCTAGTAGCTCTGTGAAAGCTGACTCTTGTGACCACAGCGTGCAGTTTGTATATGAATTCTGCTTTAATCACATATACAGTGAATTTCTAATTTAGTATTGACTTCCTAATTCTAACATTTTATGACTGAAAGTACTCAAAAATTTAAAGTGTGTAATTCAATGATAACTAGAAATAATGGGAAAGTGCTACTTGATAAAAAAGGGAAGAGTAAATCAGGTTAGCAACTACTATCGTCTGAACCAAGTTCACATCTGTTCGAATCAATCCATATTTTTCTAGATTTCCAGGTATTAAGTGCTCTATAGCAAAAGTTATTTTAAAAGTTACTTTAGCTGCTCAAATATTCTTGATGCATTAGGAATAATTTTCATTTCCCTTTGGCTTTAACACATTTTTTTCCTTTTTTCTTTCTTTTCTTTTTTGTGGCTCCAACAAACTAACAAGAAAGCCACTATTAAAAAAGAGAACCAAAACAACTGAAAAAGTTGTTAGTGCTGAATATTTAAAAACAATCTTTTTTTTTTAAAGAAGAGAATCAGGATAACTAAATACTTATGGCATGAATCAGAAACGGGAAGAGAACTAATAAGACGTGTCCATAAGTACAGAGACCAACAAAAGAATTATCAATGCTATCTAATCAAGGAAGAAGAGTCAACTCTCCTGGCCAACTTAAATGCCGTCATAACTGATTTATTAGCCTTTAAGCTTTACCATATTATCTATTTTAAAAGTATACATAAGTAAAATAGAACCAGATTCAATCCACTGGCACCATATCCTGAATAGGGAATAAAAAGTTTGGTGCCCATTATGGCAAAAAGGCAACTGAAATTCTAATAGTTTATACATAATTGCTATGACAGCTGACCTGATGTCCCTATTGCACAGACGCTTGAAACTTGTTTTCTTCCACAATTTCCTTCTCGAATGTTCCATTTGTGCATTTATAGTTTTAAAAGTATGTAGCACAAAGAAAGATGAGTCTATTGAAGAGGAACAGATTCTTTTATAGTTTGTCACAGGCATCCATGTCTTGAATGAAATGGGCTTGGCTACTAGTGACACTATGAATTATTATTTTTATTATTTTGTGAAGTGGAAACAATATAAAGGATAGAAAACTTGGTTTGATTTTTCTTAAGTTTATCCATGTCACAAGATGCTATCAATATTTTGAAGCATATCAACACCAGGCATTATTTTTTTGGCACGCCTATATTTTTAAGCATGTGATGACAGGTGATTAAGAAGCTGAAGTGGATTAAAGTGATATTTAGCTCAAATTCTATTACTTGAAAAGATTTATTTTGGTAAGAATCTTTATAAAAACAAGGTTGAACTTTCATTTTTACCTTTTCATATCAATAATTAAGGGTTAGTTAAGTTCATAGTTCATTAGTCAAGCAGACTGTCTTGATAATCAACCTTAAAATTTAAAGGCTCTGTTAAGTCTAAGCAGAAGTTAAAATACTGGGGGAGGCTACAGCTCAGTGGTAGAGTGTGAGATTTGCATAACTTTAAACCAGGTCCTGGGTTAAATTTCCAGTATCTCCATTAAACAAACAAACAAACGAACCTGATTACCCTCCCTCCCAAAAAATTAAAGAAAAAAAAAAAAAGGAGAAGTGAAAAACTAAGTTGAGAAAAAAATACTTGTGGAGAAATCTAAGCTTACAATCGTTTTATAAACTGGCAATTAGCATTATTTGAATAAAAACCTTTGCTTGAATCCAAATTTTAGAAAAGACAGAGAAGAAAACAGGTTTCAATAGAGAAAAATTTATGGTAATCTAATTTAGGGAAGAACTAAATCTTTTTGCTCATGACAATCACTGATTTTGAATTTAGTAATAATTTTTATGCTATCTGATAAAACGGATATGTTTTTAATAAAAGGTCATTTACCCCTCCTACTGCATATACAGTGGTCAGAGTCAGTTTCACAATAAACAACCAAAAGAAACATGAAGTTTAAAATGTTTTGATTTTTGATAACTTTGCAGTTAGCCAAAATGAGATATCATAAAGATATCATTAAATAGAAGAGAAAGAAATGCTTGTTAGTTAAGAAATGTATTAATTGTATTACATCTAAAATTCTGCATGTGAAGAATTTGTTAAAAGTGAAAAATAGCACAAGCAAACAAGATAAAATTGTGTAGGGAAAACACAAAACTGAAGAAACACACTACCTCTAGTTTCTCTATATTTTCAATATAAAACAATCTGTTTAATTACTTATTATTATTAATGCTATATTGTGAGAAACAGTGTAATACATAAAGAACTGAAAAATATAAATTCATAATACATATATCAAATATCTAAATATATAATTTCCATATTTAGTACTTCAGAATAGCTAAATGAATGTTAAAAATGTTAATGAGAAACTGAAATGTTTTAAAAAAGTTTGCATTGGAAATAAAGTCCACAATCAACCATGTAAGGAAAGGAAAAGAAGAACTTAGAATGGGAAGTGGTATTACAGAGAGAAATGCAGTTCTGTATCAATGGCAAGCGTATTTTTTTACCCCACTCAGTATCATGCATACTTTTGGTGCTGTGTTAGAACACAGTGACTGGGTATAAAGTTGGTTACAGTCAACAAACAAGACTAAGATTTAAATATGTCGTTAATTCAGTTAACTTCTTACAGTATGAAAGAAAAGTTACAACATGCAACCTCTTTCAATACACTGACAGTGTATTTTACTACAATATTTTAAAAGACATATAAAAAAACAAGCACAAAAACCACTTTGTGTATTTCAGTTTTGAGCATTTACTTGAGAATTTTTCCTCCAAAGATTTTCTATTTTAAGTATTGCTTCAGATCACACTATATAATTCTGTATTTTCTGAAAGGTACAAGTACATTTTAAAGGAATTTATTATTTCTAAAATAACTATATGCATTATACAATTTACTCAGATTTAATTTCTTTGACCAAGGGTCATATTCCTTGTCTTTATGTAAAGCTTTGAGTGCTTAGTGATATTAGAGATGTACAAAGAGTACAGTTAATTTATCTGCTGAGTTAACTTTCCACATTCATTTGAAATATGATCAAAGATACATAAAACTTTTGCTTTAGGTTAAAAAAAATCCTAAAACATAAAACATTGCTACAAATAGTATTTCAACATGTGTTTAGCTCTTTCTTCAGGCTTATTATTAGAGTATTCCATTGCAGTAATCACACACATACTACAGGATGGAGCCTGTGATATCCAATCACTAAATTCAAGAAGGACTTAAAGTTAATGGAAACAAAAACAAGTCTAAAATACACATCAAAGAATTTTGATGTAGTTCTTGCCCATCTACAAACTCTTCCTCTTGACTGACTTGTCTTTGTTCCCTCAAGATAAAAATTCATATTGATTCAACATGGATTCTATTAACAAATGATATTAGGAATAAAGGTAGGAAAAATAACATTTCCATAAATTCACTTGTAAAAACTCATAAACTTACATTATGACCTAGTGAATAATTTTGGGGGGGAACCTATTTTCTCAGATGTATTATTTATTAGCTATCACGATTAACACTGGTGACACAAGTTTCTAATTAACCATTCGTCTGAGTAAAGGCTGAATTCATTTCATTTATAAAAATAATGACCAAAAGTACATTTTAAGAATATATCAAATGACAGTTTTGATAATTTGGAAAGGTCTGTGAGATGGGTGCTTTATTTAATAAACGGTTTACTTTGGTATATCTCCTACTGTAAGACAACAAGGCAAGAGCTGTTGATAGTTAATTCTTTTGGCAAAATCCTTCTCATTTTAATAATGTAACTCAAACAGGAATCATAAAAAGGTCTACCACCTTCAATTATTAATTTCTAGAAATAAAAGATTTCATATACTCACCCCTTTATCTCCTCTTGCTTTAGAATTAAATTTCACTGTTTTTAATCGGGCTCGTTCTTTCTTTTCAACTCTGGTAATGCAAAGATGATTTTTTAAGTACACCAAACATATCTAAAGGTCTAACTAGAAATTATCAAAACTGATATTTTAATATGGAGCATTTTCATATTCTAAAGCCTTTAGAAGCCATTTACGTTTGCATCCCTCAACTAAGAATTTCTGAAAAATGAAATGCAGGGCTCATTTTATTATGAAACAAAACTACTTGTGAAGTATCAAAATACAATACATATATGTGTGCTTCTGTATGCACTGAATTCCATAATTATACTTGAAATTATTATGAGGCACCACTTCTGAGTTAGGCAATTTTTCACATTTTCCACTTGTTTTGCTGTTTAAATATTATCTTAGCATGGACATCTATGGTAAAAATTGTTGAGAGAAAAAAAATTGTTAAGAGAGAGAAAGCAAATGGTTTAAAATGTTAACAACTGATGAAAGTAGGTAAAGGGTATGTGGGTGTTCCACAGACTATATTCTTGAATTTCTCTTATACTTATTTTTTCTGTAGCTCTAAAGTTTTTAAAAGTAAAAAGGAAAAAAAATTAAGCTTAACTCCAATGATATTATTTGTGTAAATACATAAAGTAACCAATTACAGTGTATAAAATAGAGTTTTAAAGTATCTTTGGAAGAATACAGAAGAACAGGTAACCTCAGTTATCCTTAAGAAGGTGAAACGGATGCTTGGGGAACAGGATTAAGAGGGAGCCTGTATAGCTTTTAGATTTTTTGAATTTTAAACTTTGTTAAAAGTGTTACCTTCAAAATAAGCAAGCAAACAGAACTACAACAAAACAAATGTTTTGTGTAGATTGTAACACCAATCAATATGAATCTTACAAAATTTCATGTAAATTAAGCTTTATAAATCCTTGATTTTAATACAGCAATTATGTTAGTATGAAGTAGAAAAAACAGCCCATGAATAAATGCATATTCCTTATTTTTTTCTTTATTACCTAGCTATATAGTTTTACCATGGGTACAGAAGAACCTTAGCAGTCATGAATTTAAAACTTGGGTTTTTACTATTCCAGAGCAATCCTGAGGGTCCAGGACATGAATAATTAATTTATAATTTTGCCTAGACACTTACCGAGGGCACTGCAAAACTAACATTTGGTGAGTGAATATATATGACTGAAACTGGCTTTGTTTCCTAATCATTATCTTGTTCACTAAATAGGTGAGTGACTTCAACTGTGTTTATCTGTCAATACTGTTACTGAAAGAAACCTAGAAACAAGAAATTGTAGAAACCTGTAATTCCTTGTGCTATTATTAGACATAAAGAGGTCTAAGAAAGATATAGTTCTATTTAAGAAAATACGAGTTTTGAATACACTGAAGAATGAAATGGCATAATTAGTTGTGGTTTCATATAGTATTTTATGAGAGAAAAACTATATTCTATAATATTATTCCTGAATTTGGAGATTTGTAGAGGTCTCAAGGTACATCTCTTTTATCACTTCTGGCTTCAAAAATCCAACCTTATAGAACTTTTATACAAAATGAAAAATTTCTCTTTCCACCAAAGTCAGCTATATTTCTCATTTGTTGCAGGTGAATGTAAAGCCTTTGCAAGATATAAGGCTCCAAGGGATAAAGACAATTTTTAGGAACTCTGACCTTGATATTAAGATGTGAGGTTTCTACTAACTCAACAAGGCACAGAGGAAGCATTTCTGAATTTAAAGCATACTATGTTCTATTTCAGGAAAAAACTTATGCTGAGGGCTGCACTGCTAAAAGAGGAGTTGCCACCAAATATAAGATCTAGCCAAACAGTTGGATCTTGCAAAAAATATGTATCTAGCCAACAACAGTCGTAAATTCCAAAACCACAATGACAAATCTTGGCAATATTTTACCATTTCTACTCTTTAATGTCTACACATATACAAATGCATATATAGATAGAGGTCTGTAAGTGGGTATATGATTCGTCATAAGGATCACTTTTAGAGACTCTCAACAAAACAAGTCCAACTCATTAATAAGAACAAATTTACTACAGTATAAGCTTGACTTGAAGTGAATTAACCAGCTACAATAAACATTTATGTCTGTCTCACTGACAATTTTTACTGGCTATCTTAAAATGAGTTTTAGGCAATGATTTGGATGAATCAGGTCTCATAAATAAGCTCTTCTGGGGGAATTATGAACTGATGTTTTAAAACCTTTCCCACAAAAGCAGAGACATTCAATAGCATTTCATTGACCTTAGAGGGGGTTCTCTAAGTTGGGATCACCCTTTTCAAAGACAATATGCATTCAACCGCTTTTGCCACTAGGTGGTAAATATGCACCAGTGAATCACTACAATAAATAGTTAAAAGCAAAAAGGAAAGACTAGTGAATGCATGGATACTTCTAAATCAAGCAAGAAAAAAAGAGAAGTGAAGTATATTAGATATTTCTGAAACTTTTGCATTTATTTAAAATGTTTCATTTTTTTAAGTCTAGAAAAGGCAATTCACACAATCAAAACCCCTGAAAAATTAGGTTTATCACCATCTACATGGGAAAACTACAGAGGCTTTTAATTCTCTCTCCCTCCACTGGTATAGATTCATGGCACAGTGGCTTAAAATATACTTATTTTGTTTTAAGCAACTAGCAGGAGCTTTAGAGAAATTTCTATTTGGGGGTGTAATATTTTCTTATTATGTCACTGGTTACAATATAAGGTGAATAAAATTAAACAGTTGTGAAACACAACGGGAAAAATCAAGCATAAAATCATTTCAGTAAAAGAAATGTAAAGAAACAGCAATTATTTGTTTATGCTGTCCAATTTTCAAGTGGTAAGACTGTAACAGACGTATTTACCTGCGTTTACTGGGAATCACCCCAACTTCATCACTCTCACCATCTGGTGTAACCTGCCTGGCTTGCCACCACTCATCATCAGAAGCATTAATAACATGGAGGATATCTCCAAATTTGAAGTTCAGTCCTTGACTAGGAAGGCCACTGTCTTTAGTCTTGTCATAATCAAAAAGGGCTCTTGGTCAAGAAGAAAAAAATTTATAATTATTTGTTATAATGATATTATAAATATTAAATAAACAGGATTCTGCAAATATATGTAATCTAGGTAGATAATTAAACAATATACCATACTAGGCAAAATAATGCCCAGCTCAATTTTGTACTATATACAAGAAGACAATGAGATCAAAAAAAAAAAAAAAAAAAAAAGAAACAGCAAAATTAACTTGTTATGGTAATAGTTTATTATATACATATTACTTTATTTCTCTCAATATTATATGAGCAATTAAAAAATACTTTTAGTACAATCCAAAGGCAACCTGTATTGAATTCTAAAATGAAGACAAATCTGTAAAGAAGGTCTAAATTAATAAAGTAAATATTAAAAGAGAACTCTCTTTATTTTGGCTAGACACACTTGGGAAAACAAATTCCCTGATCGATCTAATTCATCATTTGTGAAATGTAAGACCAGATCAACAGAGTGATTATTCTCCCAGTTAATTATTCATTTGTTCATAAAACTAGAGTTAACAGAGTTTTCAGAGTCTATGACAATGAAAACTAACTACAGATGACTATGATGACTTTAACAGCTCCCCTGTTATTTTTATTTGGAATATTTTGGAAAAAATACTGTATTAATTTAATGTAGTAACTGAGAAATGTGGGGCATATTTAAAATTTTTATAACAATAGTGTCCTACTACTTGATTAATTAGTATACAATACTTAAACAAATTAAATTCTTACATTCAAAAAACCTCTCAAGAATACAGGAAGGATCTCAGCAATTACATTTATAATACAATTTATTCATTCTTTTTTTCGAATTTGGCAATGAGGAATTAGGATACAGATCATATTCCTTTTCACGCCACCCAACTTTTATGAACCTGTCTCTTAAAACTGAAGAGGGGTGAATTTACTCGACGGCTAAATGAATGAACTGGTTACTGGTTTTCAGATGTGTTCTTCCAAGTATTTCAGTAGCTAACAGTGTGAAGGAAGTAGGTGACAATCAAAAGTGGGCTTACTTAAACATACATTAAAAAGTACACAATACACTGGATTTTATTTGCAGAATTCTACAGCTGTAAAATAAAGATTGTAAATGATATAAATGCTATGTCATTACTTCAATAAATTCTGAATACTAAGGAAGCATCTTTCTACTGGAAAGATACAGCTAACCTCAAAAAACACAAAGGTTTGATATAGTCAGTAATTTACTAAATATTTATTTTAAAAAGTAATGAAATAGATATGGCAAAGATAAAGATGACAAAGATGATGAGGATACAAATAAACATAATATAAAATAGCAAATCAAATACCTGAAGAGATAGAACAAATGCCAAAGACATTCAGAAAATGGAAAATACTATATCTTAACATTTTTATTATCATAAATTAACCTTATGAATTACAAAAGCAATGGAGAAATCACTCACAACCTCTACTCCTTATGTTAGCATTTAAGCTTTGTCTTTTAATACTTTGATACATTTAAAACAGGAACTCATGGAATACTTACGAGTTATGAATCACAAGAATACAATGAACACCTGTTAATCTAGTATCCAACCTAAGACTATACACAAAACTTTAATCAATAACTCACATTACCTGTGTATTTCTCCCCTTGATCCTACTTCCCTCACGTTAGGAGTTAAGCACTATTAGAAGGTAACCACAATTTTGAACAGTGTTTATTACTTCCTCGATCCTCAACCGTTTTTGGTTTGGTTTGGCTTTACCACACAAATACAGATGACTAAGTAATTATATATGATTTTACTAGTTACAGAGCTTTATAAAAAGGTATCATACTGTATGTAATCTTTCGTGGCCTTAACTTTTTTTTTGAAATTAAAACTACATCTTCTAACAAGAATCATTAAGACATCTGGTTAACTACGGCAGATTGGCTACATGTGTCTACAGGCATACCTCAGTTTATTTGTGTTTTGCTTTACTGCACTTGGAAGATACTGTGTGTGTGTTGGGTTTTTTTTTTTTTTAAACAAATTGAAGGTTTTGTGGCCACCCTGCATTGTGTTGGCACAACCCTGTTGTAACCCCAAGTCTACTGGCATCATTTTTCCAACAGCATTTGCTAACTTCATGTCTGTGTGTCACATTTTGGTAATTCTCCCAATTACCGAACTTCTCATTATTTCAAACTTTTTCATTATTATTATATTTATTATGGTGATCTGTGATCTTTGATGTTACTACTGTAACTGTTTTGGGGCATCACGAATCGTGCTCTTATAAGATGATGAACTTAACTGATAAATGCTGTGTGTTCTGATTGCTCCGCCAATTGGCCCTTCCCCGATCTCTGTCCCTTTCCTTGGACCTCCATATTCCCTGACACACAATATTGAAATTAGGCCAATTAATAGCCCTACAATGGCCTCTAAGTGTTCATGTGAAAGGAAGAGTCTTATGGCACTCTAAATCAGCTAGAAAAGATTAAGCTTAGTGAGGAAGGCTCATTGTAAGCAAAGACACGCCAAAAGCTAGGCCTCTTGCACCAGTTAGCCAAGTTGAAAAAAGCTGAAAGTGCTACTTGAGTGAACACATGAATGAGAAGAAAGTGAAATAGCTTTATTACAGATACGCAGACGGTTTTAATGGTTTGAACAGATCAAACCAGCCATAACATTCCCTTAAGCCAAAGTGTAACCCAAAGCAAGGCTCAAACTCTTTTTAATTCTATTAAGGCTGAGAGAGGTAAGGAAGCTGCAGAAGAAAAGTTTGAAACTAGCGGAGGTTGGTTCATAATACATAAATAAGGCAAGAAGTCACCTCTATAAAATAAAAGTACAAGGTAAAGCAGCAAGTAGTGATGTACAAGTTGCAATAAGTTATCCAGAAGATCTAGGCTAAGTAATGAAGTTGGTTACATTGAGCAACAGATTTTCAATGTAGATGGGACAGCCTTATGTTGCGAGAAGATACACTTAGAATTTTCATAGCTAGAGAGAAGTCAGTGCCTAGCTTCAAAGCTTCAAAGGGCAGGTGACTCCCTTGTTAGGGGTTAATGCAGCTGGTGCATGTAAGTTAAGCCAATGCTCATTTACCATTCTGAAAATCCTAGGGTGCTTAAGAATTATGCTGAATTTACTCTGTGCTCTAGAAATGGAACAACAAAGCCTGGATGCAAGCACACTCTGGTTACAACATGGTTTACAGAATATTTTAAAAGCACACTGTTGAGACCTACTGCTCAAAAAAAAAAAAAAGATTTCTTTCAAAATATTACTATTGCTTATTGACGATGTACTTGGTCACCCAAAAGTTTTGATGGAAACATACAATGAAGTTAATGCTGTTTACATGCCTGCTAACACAACATCCACTCTGTAGCCCACAGATCAAGGACTAATTTTGACTTCCAAGACTTATTAGTTAAGAAACACATTTTGTAAGGTTAAAAATATAGATAGTGATTCCTCTGAGGGTGTTGGGCAGAGTAAACTGAAAACCTTCTGGAAAGGATTCACCACTCTAGATGTCATTAACATTTGTGATTCATTGGTTGAGGTCAAAATATCAGTATTAATTGGAGTTTGGAAAAAGTTGATTCTAACCCTAATGAGTGACTTTGAGAGGCTGAAGACTTTAGCAGATGAAATAACTACAGATGTGGTAGAAATAGCCCGAGAACCAGAAGTGGAGCCTAAAGATGTGACTGAACTGCTGCAATCTCACAACAAAACTTGAACAGATGTTCAAACTTCTCAACAGGTGAGGAGCTGTTTCTTCTAGATGAGCAAAGAAAGCAGTTTCTTGAGATAGAATCTACTCTTGGTGAAGATGCTATGAAGATTATTGAAATGAAAAGGGATATAAAATATTATGTCAACTTAGCTGATAAAGCAGTGGCAGGGTTTGAGAGGACTGACTACAATTTTGAAAGAAGTTCTACCGAGGGTAAAATGCTATCATATAGCATTATATGCTTCAGAGAAATCACAAATGAAAGGAAGATTTTAATCAATGTGGCAAACTTCATTGTTGTCTTAAACTTTAAGAAATTGCCACAGCCACCCCAAACCTCCAGCTCCCTGAGCAGTCAGCAGTCATCAACATGGAGGCAGGATCTTCCATTAGCAAAAGATTATGACTCACTGAAGGCTCAGATGATGGTTAGCATTTTTTAGCAATAAAGTATTTTTTAAATTGAGGTATGTATTTTTTTAAGACATAATGCTATTATTGTACACTCAGTAGACTATAGTACAGTGTTAAATATAACCTTTTATGCACCGGGAAACCAAAAAATTTGTGGTATTGTGATATTCACCATGTTGTAGTGGTGTGGAACTGAACCTGCAACACCTCTGAGGTAATTCTTGCATTTCTTTTCCATCCTGAAACTCACTAAAATAACAACAACAAAAAAGACAAATACAAAAAAGAGATGGCAACAAGAGAAAAGAGAGTTTAAACATGTTTTTGGATGATGGTAAATAAATCTGGCAGAGCAGAGGAAGCTCTAAATGGGGTGCCTGAAGAGAGGGATACTGAAGTAAGATTTACTCCACAAGACCCTAGAAATGCTTACAAATTAAAGTGTACGGTATCCATGTAGGTAGAGATAACTTAGAGCAGTGAAAACAGAAGAACTGGGGGAAATTACTGTAGTAATTAAATGTTACTCAAATGGAGAATATTTTATCATAAAAGGAAACAGGTAAATAGAAGTGCTGGATGATACGACACACCAAACTATACTAGCCACTCAGTAAAATTTTTGACCCATATTTATTTTGTCTTTCTTTACTATATTGTAATTATTCAAGAGGTAATATAACTCTCATTGATAAAATTATAATACTATTCCTGAAAGATAGATTATCAGGAAATCAGTCATAAAGAAACATTTCCATGGTTTGCAATACACTTTTCTATAGTAAAATTAAGTCATACTGAAAAACCTGGAAGAATTTGCATGCATAAATAAAGACTGCTATAACTAAAAATAAAAAAATTTACCTGACATAGAGGGATCGCTTCTGGCTAGTTCGAAGAGAACCTGATCCTGAACTAATGCTACTATTCATCATCTGTTCCCGTAAGTCATGTATTTTGGCTTCAAAACGACTGTATTCTGATGGAAGAAAAAAGAGAAATAAATTTATAATTTATTTTCTAAAAATATAAGTCACTTGAAGATAAAGTATTATATATGTAGGCTGTCTTATAATTGGTTAAATGTAGTCAGAACCTTAAAAGAGTAGTCTACACAAGATTTTGCCCAATATGCAAATATCAAAAATTAATCTTAATGTACCATGATTAAGAATTGACTGAAAACAGATTTTTCTCATATGCTATTTTAAATTTCCTATGACATTTAATAAGTTAAAAGACAACTTCCGTGCATCAAATAGCAGTATCAATCTTACTTTATTGTTGAATTTAACTGTAAATTTTGAAAAGTGAAAATCAGGATGTGTTCTAATTTTTATACTTTAAAAAAAAGAATCCTATAGTAATTTATACTAGACACTTTGCTTACTGACTTTTTCCCTGTGAAGAAATCAGCTGATCTTATATTCTCAGATTTTACCCTTGTGCAGGGTAAAATAATATGGGAGAAATATGTCTTAAAAAAACTAATAAATAAAATTAAATTTATTTCAATTCATTTTATAATTTATAAATTTTCAAAGACACACAAAAAAGCAATCTGAAGGAATAAACACTTTATTTAAGATACCTTTTATAGAAAAACAAATGTGATTCTGAATATGGACTATTTTAAACTCATACATAAAATCTTTAAGTACTTTTTCAAAAATATTGCAATTACATGGTTACATATACTTATATAATTTTCTCTATTTACAATAAATAACTGTCTTATAGACAAGTCAGATTCTACCAGATTTTTTAAAATAAAACCAGTCCTATAGCAAGAGCAAATAACTTGTCTGGAGTTTGTATAGTTTAAAAAGACAGAGTAAGAGTAAGCATGCTTACTTAGATGTTTATGTTGTTGAGTTACTCTTGCTTTCATCATAGTCATCAAGTTTGTTTTATGGCTACTGAGATTAATTGAAGCAACAATTCATCAAGAAATTCAGAAACGTTTAAATGCTCACATTAATATGTAATAAAATCTTCTTTTATTGTCCTTTAAAATGTAACAGAAAATTTAAAGTATAAACATTAAGAGACTGACTAGTATAGCTATAACCATTATAATTCAACAATTATCAACTCATGTCAAGTTTTTTGTTTGTATGGACATATCTACGATACAGACTGACTGATGGATGAAGATAAAGATGAAAACAAGAAGTGAACCATAAGCTTATACTGGTTCTTTAATTAAAAATTAGGACCATTAAGTTTTTACTCATTCTTTTATCTTTATATGCTTTCCTGCTTATGAAGAATCCTGGTTCTCAAGACACTGAGGATAACAGAATCAGATACCACAGATGACTTACTTGTTTAAGCCAATATTACATTCACAACAGTCTTAAAATAACAAGAAAGCTATAACCATGACATGATTACTGTAAACAGTTAACTATTTTCCCTAGTTCTTTTTATCCTTGAGAGTATGGCCTATTATAAGGGATATACAGTTGAATACTGTTTTAAAGTCACTTGGAATAGTTCCTTCCTAGGTGCCATACTGCCAGTTGGATATACACCTAGGTTCATTTGTTCCTTTTTATTTTCAACTTTAATTTTTAGGGGTTGCTTTTAAAAATTTTCATTGTTTTTACAGGTAGGTAAAATAATTCCAAAGTCAATTGTTTTATAAAATAAGGATATTAAAAAGAAGTCTAATTTCTATCCCTCTCTCCCTTCTCCACTTTGTCCTGTTCATAAACATTTAAAGAAAGCTTTATCCTTCCATTTTTAATAAGTAAACATATATACACATGCAAATATTTATATAAATGTATTCTATATTAATATATGTATATTTAAATTATACATATACTTTATAATTATGTGTGTATGTGTACACACGTATGTATTGCTTATCCTTCTTAAACAGTAACATACACATTTTCCCATCTTGCTTATGTTATTTAATAGGATTTAAAGTAATAGTCTCAACTGTAGTAATAATAAGAACGCTCCATAGTAGCATATACAGATGTCCCTCATTTTTTTTTAAGGCTATATGGTTCTTTTACCTCTAACCTCTCTTTGTTACAAGAAGATACTGTATAGGGTTAGATTTTGCTGTACTAGCAAATCAGAAAATTGTTTTCTTTTAATAATCAAGGTGAGCTAACTTTTGATATGATTAAAGTTGTGTGATTTCCAGTTCTATTCTTAATATTTTGTTTTGTGTTTATACGTTGAAAATATATATATATATATATATATATCTACAGTCAAGCCTTTTATATAGCTTGTGGCAGATTATATTTTCCAAAGATGCCCGGCATCCCACATGTTCTTGTACTATGTGACCAGGCTCCAACTCATCACGTCAGGGCAGTTACCTGTGTAGGAGCCCTCCTCATGGTTAAGTCCTAACAGGCCACCATAACTAATCCTGACCTCCTCAGCCCTGCAATGCAGATAACTACCTTGCTATGCTCCACCTAATGGCTTAATACAAAATTGATCAGGATGTGAAAGGGAAAGAGCTCTTTATTTTTGGATTTTAAAAATGTAAAGGTAAGATGTTCATTATAGTTCACATAGCATTATTAGTTGTTTTCAACCATTTTGCCAAGCAAATTAACCAAAGTCCTAGTGACTTAAAATATTCTACATTTGAGAAATTTAAAAACTTTCTGTAAAAAGGTCACATTACCTTTTATAGTGAGGTGGAAAATGTTCTTTCCTAAGAAGTAACTAAGTTACCATAAAGCAGTTAAAGTCTCAGATATTCAACATTTAAGATACTGGAGAACTAAAGTCAATTCCTGATAATTTCTTAAATTTGTGCCTTACTTATTTTGTTAACTCTGTTCAGATTTTCATATTTATGGTCTTTACTTACTATTAACAACTCCTCATAACCATCTATCTGTCTGTCTCAAACATACTTCAATACTTTCCTCAAAGTAACGTTTCCCTTAAACTTCCATTTAATTTACCTAGCTAACATTCCTATCTTTTCCTTTTATTTCAATCAATCCATCCTTTCAGCTCTAAGTTTCATTCTTATACCCATTCTGTGTACCTTTTCTTTATATTTTCCATTCTGTGTACCTTTACTTTATATTTTATTTTGGAGGAAGAATCTCATTTCTTATCTTCAGTTAAGTCATTTGCATCCCTTTTCCAGAAATTATACCACCACTCATTTCAGGAAAGCTACTATTGGAGAGAGCTAAAATGTTACCTGGGAGATAATCTCCATTAAACGTTGTTGTTAGGAAGTCTTTGAACAGCTGGCCATAAGTTAAATAATATGTGTATGCTTATAGAAAAAGACACAATGTTTAATGGCCAACTTTCTGCATTTTATTCCCCTTTCAACTTCTAATCTTTATTTCCACTCCCACACTATAAGTAAAAAGATGGAAGCAAGGGGAAAGAGAATGGGGAGAAATTTTACCTCCCTCAATTTCCTTGAAACTTGCAGTCCTAATTATGAAGGATGAAACTCACTTAATACTCTATGATGAAATATATTAATTAAACACACAGCTTTAACACTTAAGAGCAACAGCTATCAGAGAATGGATATTATGATTGATCTAGAAAAGAAAAAGGGAAAGTTTTTGAGTAAAAAGGCAAGCTGGTTGTTTTAAGTAGTTAGGAAGGGGTAGAAAGATACAGGAAGGAAAGTAAGATACTAAAAAAAAAAATAAACTAGGAACGTGGTACAGAAAATACTAAACAGATGACATATGCTTGCAAAGAAATGCCACTAATCCAATACAACCTCTCCATTCAGCCTCCACTTCTCCCCTCTTTGGTTATTATCAGAAGTAGTTATGAAAATAAAATGAGAAGACAGGTTAAACTCTACCTCTGCAACTCAGATTTAAATCAAACCTTTGAAACTCAGAAAAGGGGCTCTGGTCAAACCTCTCAGCTTTTCTAGACTTTAGTCATTTGAAGATTAGGAATAGTAACACCAATCTAAAAAGATTCTTTTTCTTATGAAAATGAAATAAAATACCTCACAAATTTAAGACATAAACAATGGGAAAGAGAAAATACATTTAATATAAGTTTAAGTCTATCCCTTTGATCTCTTTTTCATTTATAATATCATTGAAATATAATTAATATTTTCTGAACCAAAAGTAGACATTTAAAGCCTTTAAGTTGCTATAGTATACTTGAGGAACAATAAGATAAAGTATTTGTGTTTAGGGCTTTTTGTGAAGAGAGGCAGCTTTAGTGTGTGGTTGAGAGAGTAAGTGCAAGGTGTGGGGACCACTTGGAACCCCAAGGTTGTCACAGAGATTATTTTAAGCTGAAGACATTTGAGGTTCAATAAACGCAGAAAAAAGCCTTCTCAGAGCTTTCCTTATTTAACTCAAAGCATCAACTTCTGGGAAATGAGGTTACTCTAAATCTCCTCTTTTGGGGACTCTACAGCCCTGAAGAAGATGGAAACACCACTCATACCTGTAGAGACAAACATTATCACAAACTTCCTCCTAAAGAGGTACTTTTCTCCCCACTCCCTTTTCCATACTATGTTAGGAATATAAGCCTTTAATCTTAACCATTTAATGAGCCAGTTACTTTTGTTGGCTCCCTGGATGCATACTTCTGTTAATCTGTCTTCTGTCAGTTTAATTCACAGGCGCCAACTAATGAAACTAAATGGGCAGAGGAAAAGTTTTTCCTCCTCTACAAAGGGCTATCAGAAATCTTAGCCACTTGCCAGCTGTGTAACTGGCAAGTTACTTAACCTTTCTCTGCCTTAGCTTACACAACTGTAATGTAAAATGACAGTTAACAGTGCCCACTCTATAGGGTTTTATGGGAATTAAAAGAGTTAATGTGGGGAGGGTATAGCTCAGTGGGTAGGGAGTGTGCTTAGGGTGCATGAGGTCCTGGGTTCAATCCCTAGTCCGTCCATTAAAAAAAAAAAGTTAGTAAATGTAACATGGTTAGATGCCTGGCACATTTTTTTGTTTCCTATTATAGTCTATCACCCAACCTAAAGGAGATTCTTTAACTATAGACCAGGTATTACTTGTTAAATTTTTGTTAATTTCTGGATATGGAATAAAAAACTAGAATAGTAATTCCAGTGCCCATGTTTGATTTCTGATTATGATTCCCAAAAGTGATTAGTAGTAAAGTTCTAAAAAATGAATTGTTGTTTGTCTTTGGAGTTAGCAAAACTGAGGGAAGCTAAGTGATAAAGTCCTTTTAAATGTTTTATAGATTGTTTTTTCAAACTTAGAGTCTAAGTGATTAAAGTTCAAAGTTCACAAGCTGAAAAACTTGTAACACTATTTCATGGAAGGCTAATAGGAAAGCCATAAATTCTGAAAGATAAAAACTTTCTCCTACCAAAAAGCTTACCTTCACTCTTTGTCTGTTTTATGTATGTATGTATGTATGTATGTATGTATGTATGTATGTATGTATGTATGTTAGATTATCAATGAAGCAAAGAATCCCAAGGAATTTGTTATTAGTAAAGTGAAGATACTAACTGCAAGGAGATGACTGATTATCAGAGTGTCAGGTGACTCCTTTTGTACTTCGTAAAACAGCCAGCTCACTGAGAAATAAAACCTGAGTCTTATCTTTAATTGATATCCTTGGTCCTCATAACAGTTACACACTGATGACGTGAAATGTTATTTTTTTAGAAAGTGCTGTACAACAAAAATACATTTGTTAAAAACATAATTAGTATTAAAGCAAAACATAAAGCCATTGTGTCAGTGTCTAATAAACAGACATAAGGTAAGTAGCAATACAGCAAGGAGGACAGGTCAGTTTTCAAAGTACTCAAAACCTGCTTTTAAATTTTAACTTTCTCATCTTTGGTCTTCTGTTATTCTTTCTAGAATGTCATTTCTTCTCTCTGTCTATCTAAAGTCTACCCATTCTTTAGGTTTCCAGTTAATTCCCAATCCTACTCGATGGCATTATTTTCCCCTCATACCAGGCAATATGATTTACCTTCTTCTGAATTCCTAAGACAATGTCTGTCTCCTATGTTCTACTGGTACTTACCTTGTGTTTATTAGGCAATCACAGCATAGCTGTGGTAAAAGAATACAGTATAAATCAATATTGCCAGACTGAACACTCATTAAAATATTCCCAGTGAAAAGTATCTAGACTTTGAAGGCAATAGACCTAGCACTGAATCCCCGCTATTACTACCAGCATTATTGTTTGCGTGTATACCATCATCTGTATGTAGGGATATAGCTATGTGTTTCATAAGCTCCTAGAGCAAGGCTTAAATAAATAGAAAATAGGCACCTAAATAAACATACAATTATAAACCGTGTCAAGCGTTATAAAGGAAAAATACCACAGTGCTGTGAGAAATGAAATCATGAGAAGGAGCCAATCATATAAAGAATAGGGGGAAAGAATATTCTAAGAACAAACAGAATGAACAGAGAATTAGGAAAATATCTGGTATAATCAAGTGTTGAAGGAAGGTCTGTATGGTTAGAGCTTCAGGAGTAAAAGAAGGAGTAGAGAGCTTGCAGTGAAGTCATATGCATTGTGTGTGCTCAATTATACAGAGCCTTGCAGGTCCTATTAAAGGGTTTGAATCTTATTCAGAGTATAATGGGAAGTGTTTTAAATGGGAACTGATACAGTCCAATCTTTGTATATACAAAGATCACTGTGGCTGATGAATGGACTGGAAAAAGTCAAGAAAGAAGGAGACTTGCTAGAGGCTATTAGAATAGTTTAGGTAAGATCTGATAGTGGGTTTGGTTAGGGTAGTGGCCAAGACACAGAGGTTGAGAAAAGGGAAGGGAGATCAGGGATGACTCCTAGGCTCTGGCTTAAACATCAGTGGAAATGCCATTTAAGGAGAGAGTGAAAGAATTGTTTCAGATAAGCTCAATTTCAAACATTAGGGAGAAATAAAGCTGGAGAAACCAAACAGGACATTATCTGGTCCATTATTAGGAAATGTTTGGAAAAAAGATAGATACACAAGAGTAATTAACATAAGGGTCTAATCTTGAAACGTAGAAGACATATGTTAAATAGTAGCTACTTCAATAATCCAAGCAGAATGCAAATTCTCCTTGATACAAAAATGGCTCCATCAAGACTAGAATAGTTAAAAGTTTTGAATACAACTAAAGTTTCATTCAGAAAGGTTCATACGAGAGAAAAGCACAGAAATTACAAAAAAGAACAACAACAAAAAAACCCCGAGTACAAGTACAGAAAAAGATAATCTGAAAGGGAGATTCCTAGGACCATTCAGTAACTACCGTAGGAAAAGGGTAGCCCATCCTTGCCAGTCATTGCCAGTCATCAGTGGCAAGTATACTTACTGCATATATATATATATACAGGCTTAGTTAAGCTTAGTTAAGAGTCACTAAACATGAAAATGGTAAAATTAATGATCCTTGTTCTGATATATGCTCATCAAGCATTAGAGCAGTTCTTTATCAATCTATTTTTACCTCCTTAATAACTTAATATTTTCATCTCATTCCCAGAAGATTCTTTCTTGATAAACATTAACTAGAATATGTCTGAATTTTGACCATTCTGAGTCAATTTTCATGCTATTTCTTTTCAGTATAAAGATTCACATCGTATAAATTCAGGAACATTTTCTTGACTACTATAATTTCAAGCATTTAATCTCTTCTTTTTAAAAAATTTACTTTTTCCAGAAAGTCTAATTATGTATATGTTGTATATACATAATTCCCTGTCTTTTCACTCTAATCTTAAATTCTCTTTGTTTCTACTTAATGTTGTTTACTTTTCCTACTGTATCCTTTATGTCCCCTATTGATTTTTCTGCAGTGTCTCTGTCTTTCTGTTCCAAGTTAAGAAACTAGTTTGCTTTCTTCTTTTCTGGGTTCTCCTAGCTCAAAATTAATCTCTTCTGGTTGTTAAGCCTCTTTTCCTACAGTTCTTTACATATCTACTTTGTGGTCTTCTTTCAAAGAAGTGAATGCATAAATTGTTTCAGAACATTAAAATCAAATTTTCATCTGATTTGTGCCAATGTTGTGTGTGTGTGTGTGTGTGTGTGTGTGTGTGTATGCGCGTGCATGTGTAACTAATCTTTATCTGTTGCTAAGTTTTGTTCTTTGTTTCTCTCTCTTCTTATTAATATCTTTGTATGAATGCTAGGCCAGTTCTTTTTAAATTGCTTATTACTGAATGAGTTCGCTGGACCAGAAAGTTTTGGGGTATAGGGTGAGTAAGGAACCATGGGTTATCTTTAGAGCATTTAAAACCAAGACTGTCACATTATCTGATGCTATCAAGACAGACTGTTTAAATCAAATACGGTTCTCTATTCTCTAAATGAAATCACATCAAGGATGGCTTTTGCTCTAGCATCCTCACTCCAATTTCCACGTGGCTTGCCATAAACAACGGATAATGTTTTCATACCTCAAAAACAAGTCCCTTACCATTAGGAAGTATAATTTTCTGTCATATTTTAAGTTCTGCTACCACTGAGCATTCTCAAAATTTCATGTTTTCACTCTTTCCTTCTTTCCATGTAGTTTTTGCCAGATCTCAATCTGCTTAAGCAGTCTTTTTGCCTGTATTTTGTTGTCTAGGTATTAAATCTGACTTCTTAGTTTTGCTTAATGTGAGGTCAAGCTGTATGGGTACAAGCATGCGTTTATGTTTTATTTTCCTTGCTGTTTCTGTGTGTTTTCTGGGGAGGTTAAGGAGCAGATACTGACTTTTCCTTAATCTTATCTAAAGTCATTATTCTTCATTTCCATAATACTAAGTAACCAGTGATTATAATGTGGTTTCCATACAGTATACCTAAAGGGCAAGAAGGTGCTGACCAGATGATAAAAGCATGTGTACTCTCACTGGTAGTTTTGTTTCTCACAAAAATTAATAAATTGTCATTCTGACTTCTTAATATTAGTCCTTATTTGCTTGATTAATGTGATTTATTTGGAACTTACCCCTTACACAAATGAATTTATTCTTGTTCAGTTACTAAACCTAAAATGCTGAGTTGTCAAGAAATATTATATTATGAAATAGCAAGCGATGTTCAACATACTGCTTTGAGCAGGTAAATACATATTAGGTAAATTCCACTCCAGGAAAAGAATAGTAAATGTAACAGTTGCTAAATTATAGAATATTTCACCTGGCTCCTTTAGTCACATCATTCTTTCCTTCTTCACTTTGTTTATGAACATTAACTAGTATGCTATGTATTCTTCTGGGTGTTTAAACTTTTTAAATTCCACTGAGGTTTTACTGAAATGGTTATGTTGATGTACACTAGAGTCTTGTGTATGTTTAAAATGGCATGACCTCAAATTTTCCATTACCACCTTCTTCCATTAGGAACTTGGTAAGGTCATGTCCATGATACTTCACCATTTAGAAATATATTACATCCCCAACGTGTATTCTTTCTCTTTATTTTAAGTAACAACAAAGGTTTAGAAACATGTCTGAAACCTTGATATTAATAAATATAATCTAATTAAAAAGTTAGAAAAAATTGGGATAACCTTATTTTCTTTGGCAAAATTACTATCTTTGCCTTTTAATCACTGGGTTAGTATAAGGTATGTTAATAGGTATGTATTTGGTCAGATGACAAATTTTAAAAAATGAACACCTGAAAATTAATCCAAATAATGGTGAAATAAAGAGTTGACAGATACAAGTTCCTACATTATATTAAAAACTCTTCGATAAGATAGTGAATTAGGTTCATACTAAACAAATAATAGATTAATAAATCAGACAAAAACATGAAAAGAAAGTTAAGCTTGGGAAGCTAAACTTTTTAAGACAAAGATTTTAAAAAACTGAAATAAAAAAAGGACCGACAACAAGAATTTATTACCTTCAGGTCGATATTGTGCAACAATTGTGACAGCTTGACCAGCATTTTTTAAAGCAGCTGCTGCCTGCTCATGGCTGGCAGTTCTGAGGTCGACACTGTTTACCTGTAAATCAAACCAAATCTTAAATTTGAAAGAAAATCATCACATTGATTAGAAAGCACAATAACCTGTTCTTTGAGCAGACATAGATTAAAAAAAATTACTTGCAACTACCTTATCACTAAAATTTATTTTCTTGTTTTGAGCTACTAAAAATATACAGTAAAACAAAAGATTACTATCAATCAAAACATTTTTAGTCACTAAAAATACTTTGCTTACTGTCAAGTGAACAAAACTGAAATAGTTTCCCCTAGGTTTTCCAGAAGATTGTCTATCAGTCTCTTGAGAAATGTACCTTAATTTGACAACCTAAAAAATCAACAAGTGACATCATTTTGTACATTTCATTTCACTAGTAACTCAATCAATTGGAGGGAGATTCATTTCATTTGTAGCATCCTCTCCACTCCTGCCACATTTTCACTACTACTCATTTCAGTTTCAATTCTCTTCCTTCCTTATCCAAACTAAAATTTCCATTCTTTTGCAGTAACAGGAAAGCAATTACCTAAAAGTATTAAAATAAGTCTGATTTCAAGGACTGACATTTAAATAAGGTAAATGTTATTAAATGAACAAGGAGACATTTTTTTCAACACAGGGTCCTTCCTTGGGTGAAATAATTACTGAGGGGCCCATTCACACTCCAGAAGCGTAAGAAACTTAATTCTTATTTCTGAAAAGCTGCCAAAACCAAGCAAACTGCAAGGTACATTAATCTTTAGAGACTGAACACTTTCATTACAAGAAAAACTTAATATGATATTAATGCGAGCATTAGACTTAAATGTAATAAACTTTAAATATTAACATTTCTTTTTTCCCATAAGAACAATCAATGAATAAAATACAGCAATGTTTGGGACCTTCACTGAATATTTTTGGAAAAGAAGAAGATCTGTCATGCAATTTTTACACGAAAGCCTGTTTTGTTGATATCTAGCCTAAAACCTGTTAAAGATTACAAACCAATTTTGGAAAATGTGACTACAGAAATTTCTGGGATCACAAAACTTCTATAAAAGAACATTTTAAACAGATAAATACCTGAAGTTTTATATTATCTATAAAGGATATCATCATGCAATTAAGTTAAAATATGCACATACCTTTGGAATGGAAACTAAGATTCAAATATTAATCCAAACAAATGTAACATAATGTGGTTGTATTAGAGAACATCTCTAGCTGAAGGCTATAAAAAACTCAACTCAATGTATAAACAGTTCTACACTGAACATAAAGAAAATCCTTCTAATTCTCAGGAGAACAATTTAGAGAAGAAATACAAAGATAAACTGTCATAGATTATTGTAGATAAGATCATAATTTTTAATGAATTATTCCTGAGTATCAAATCCTTTTGCTACAGAAAAGATCTGAAGACAACCTATATAGATTGAAAAGAGAATAATTTGTTAAAAAGATTACAAATTACAAATGCTCCTAAATAACACCAAACATTTTAATGGAATACACTATCAAAATCCTAGTATAAATGCATACTGTGTAAACAGACTTAAGAGTCATTTTAATTTAAACTAACACTTAAAAAATGGAGATGTAATTTACATAAACTCCACACTTTTAATGGGACAGTTTAGTGTTTGATATATTCACAAGCATGTGTAACCACTACCGTACTCTAATTCCAAAACATTTTCATCAGCCCCCGCCAAAACCCACAACCCATTAGCATTCATTCCCTTCTTCCTTCTCTTCTTTGACCCTGGCAACCACTATTTTACTTTCTGACTCTAAGGATTTGTCTATTTTGTACATTTTAAATGAATGGGATATTATAAATATGTGGCTATTTGGGTATGGCTTCTTTCACTTAGCTTGTTTTCACGGTTCATCCTGGTTGTAGCCTGTTTCAGTACTTCATTACTTACAATGGCTGAGTAATACTCCATTGTATAGATACTCCATATTTTATCTACTATGCTGAATTTATTCTTTTCGATACTACTGTAAATTGAATTGTTTTCTTAATTTCACTCTAAGGTTGTTCAATGCTTGTATATAGAAACACAACTGTTTCTTGTGTAGTGATTCTCTGTCCCACAAACTTGCTGAGCTTGTTTATTAAATTATTAACTCTGACAGTTCTTTTGGATTTCCTAAGATTTTCTATATATAAGATCATGGCATCTACAAATAGAGACAATTTTGCTTCTTCCTTTTTAATCTAGAAAGAGTTTGTTTCTTTTTCTTGTCTAACTGCCTACCTAGAAACTCCAGTACAATGTCAAATAGAAGTGGCAAGAATGGACACCCTTGTCTTGTTCCTGATCTTAGAGGGAAAGCTTTCACTGTTTCAGCATTTAGTGTGACATAAGCTATCGGTTTTTCAGTCACCCTTTATCAGGCAGAGGAAGTTCTCTACTATTCCTAATTTGTTTGGTGTTTTTATGATGTAAAGTGTTGGTGTTTGACAAAAGCTTTTTCTATTGAGATAAGTGGTCATGTGGTTTATGTCCTTAACTCTATTAATATGGTGTCTTACTTCTATTGGTATTCCTATGTTGAACCAACCATGCACTCCTTGGATAAATTCCACTTGGTTATGGTGTACAATCCTTTTTATGCTAGTGTATAATCCTCTTTTATGCTGCTGAATCCAGCTAGCTATTTTGTTGAGGATTTTTACATATAAATTTATAAGGGATTTTATAGTCTTCTCTTCTTGTCATATCTTTGTCTGGTTTGATATAATAACAATATTGGCCCTATAGAATGAGTTGGGAAGTGTTCTTCATACCTATCCCTTTTTTGGGAAGAGTTTGGGAACAACAGGTGTTATTTAAATATTCTATGGACTACACTAGTGAGGCTGTCTCATCCTGGGCTTTTTCCTTTGTGCGAAGTTTTGATAATCTATTCAATCTCCTTAATTGTTATAGTTAGTTTCTATTTCTTCTTGGATCAGTTTCAATAGTTTATGTCTTTCTAGGAACTTATCAACAATTATACAATATATGCAACTATATATCACATATAAGCTATATATAACATATATTATAAAATGTTCTTTGGTTTTTAACAACAATTTTTGTCTTAAAGTCTACTTTGTTTGATCTTTGTATAGCCATTCTTTATGTTTCCTGGTTACTCTCTGCATGGTATATCTTTCCCAATCTTTTAGTTTCAACAAAGATTGAATCTATTTTTAATGGATTTTCTAGTATGAATATTATCAATACAAATATTCCAGAAATTATATGAAATTCCAGAAAATCTGATATGTATGTCATCATCCATAATTACCATTATCATCTTAACATGTTGTATGTCCCAGAAATAACTAAATTTTCTTGTCACTGCATTATAATGACTTCTCATTAGATATTTAACCATGGCCATTTTTAAGTCTTGCCGTATACAGTTATTGCTTTACTCTGATGGTTTTGCAAACGTGTTTCATTTTCAGAGACTCATGGGAAGGGCTCTGACATGTACTCAAGAATACAGGCTTCTGATAACTTTCAGATCATACCACTGAACTGGGTAGAAAGTTATATGACACTAACAGAAAAACTGATGGCTTCATAAAATTGCTAATAAAAGATCACTATCAACAAGAATTAATTACATGGGAGTGGATGAACTGGTCAGGGTAATTATAATTTTGTGATTTTGTTTGAAACATTGTTGGTTTTCTAGTCTTTCATTTTTTCCAGATTTAAGGAAACTTCTTCTCTTAAGCTGTCTATGATGTACAACAATTTGGTAAGGTATATCTTTGTGGAAAAAGATGAAATATTTATCGTTTCCTCCCTACCACGATCCCTCCAGAATTAGAAAACTCTCAGTAAGTATGCCTCTTTCCATGGTAATATAGTTATTTGTTCATGGCAATATAGTTATCTGTTCAATAGGAATCTGTTCTCCTTGTAATAGGACACAGTTGGAAACATTGTTTGTATCACCAGAGTTTTGACTGGAACATCATATTTGAGAATGTGCAGGCTCATATATAACCAGACCAACTTGGAAAACCAGCTTGGTAGCTTGCTTATAGGATTCCTGGCATTGTTGTCAGATGAGTAAGGGAGGTCACTTCCTGGCATGTGCAGGAAACTCGGAATATTTTGAGGACCTCAAGAAGAGAGGGATTAACCCAAATCCATGGCTATTGTAGATGAAATCTGATGGCAAGTCCTTGGCTTGCTAACGTGTTTCATTTTCAGAGACTCATGGGAAGGGCTCTGACATGTACTCAAGATGTTCAGAGAACTCAAGAGGAGTATAGATGCACAGAGTGAAGTTTTTAGCAAAGAGCTGGAAAATATAAAGAATACCCAAACAGAGTTAAAGAATAAAATCACTGAAATGAGTAACACAGTAGAAGGAACCAAGAATAGACTAAAAGAGGCAGAAGAATGGATCAACGAGCTAGAAGACAGATTAGTGGAAATCTCTACTGCAGAACAGAAAAAAAGAAAAAGAATGAAAAGAAATGAGGACAGTTTAAAGACATGAGGATAGAACTCTGGGACAATATGAAGTGCACCAATATTTGCATTACTGGGATCCCAGAAAGAGAAGAGAGAGAGAAGAACCTGAGAACATTTTTGGAGAGATAATCACTGAAAACTTCCCCAGCTTGGGAAAGGAAACAGTCACCCAAGTTCAGGAAGCACAGAGAATTCCACACAGGATCAACCCAAAGAAGAATGTACCAAGGCACATAGTAATCAAATTGATAAAAATTAAGAATAAGGAGAAAATATTAAAATTGTTGCAAGAGAACAGCAACAAATAACACATACAAGGGAACTCCCATGCGGTTATCAGCTGATTTTTCAGCAGAAACTCTATAGGCCAGAAGGGAGTGGCAAGATATATTTAAAGTGATGAAAGGGATAACTTATAACCAAGAATACTCTATCCAGCAAGGCTCTCTTTCAGATTTGATGGAGAAATCAAAAGCTTCACAGATAGCTCACAGTGAAAAAAAATGTGACAATGAATATATGCATGTTTACGTATAACTG